CTCGCCCCGCCCCCCGCCTCTCGCCCCGCCCATCTCCCCGTCTATAATCCGCCCCCTCGTCCCGCCCCCTCGTCCCGCCCTGCCCCTCCCGCGGGCTCAGCCCCCTCCGCCGCGCTCCGCCGCCTGCACCGGCGGGGGGTGGGGAGGGGGGGGCCTCCGCGGGGGGGCTGGGAGTGACTTTTGAAACACGAACGCCTCGCCGGGGTGGGGCCGCTGAGGGCGTCGCCTTCGGTCACGGGCGCGTCGGTTCTCCGCGTGAGCTCCTGGCTCTTCTGTGCTTGCGAGTGTGAAACGGGTGTGCAAGGGTCACTCGGCAGCCGTAAATTCCTCAGGGTGCGGTACGCGACTGCTTTTCAGGATTGAGATGTGAACTTGATCCTGTCTCCACAAACACAGACCCCTGGGCTTGTAATCGGAATTTCTCTCTTTGCCAGTGGGTTTAATAATCAGATGCTTTACTGGGAGATGAAAGACGCTGAGTAAAGCAGCACACTTCTATGCCCAAATTTTCTCTTGTGACAGCAGTGACTCTCTGCTCTCTTTCTCTCTCCAGAACCAGAAAAGAGAATTACCCCAATAATTGTGTACCCAACGCAAAAGACAACATCGGCCTCTTGGTAAGGCCCAACATTATGTTTGCAACAATCTAACCAGAGAAAAATTAGAGCAGGTCCTCTTATGGTGTAATTTGTTGGCATAAATTGTTGTGTTTCTTATGATTTTGATAATATTAGCCAAGGGTCGGTGCTGGAGTACATTTTCCTTATTGTCTACAACTAGATGCCATCTTTCATAGAGGAGAAGCTGCAGAAATGCTGTGGATTTTAGCTTCTAACAAAGCAAGAAAAGCGTGTTTGTGCCCTTTGATCAGCTGCTCAGAGTTGCCCTTCACTAAAAACTATTTGTTTTCCATATTCTCTCAAATCGATCTAGGCTATCCGGTGGCTTTGAATGAGCCATCTAGTTCTTTTGGGAGGAGATGTTTTCCATTGCTTTTTACTGTTTGAACTAGGCAGTTGTTGTTAGTTAGAAAGTATCTTGATAGGATCTCAATTTTTCTTTGAAGATTGTATTATGACAACAAATTTCTGTTGCCTTTCCTCTCCCCAGAAAATACCAGGTACACTAAGCTTTTTTAACTTGGGTACTACGTACCCAGCTGTGTCCTGTGAATCTTAGTTTTCCTTGCCACTTTTCTTTCTGTCCGTGTAGGACTACCAAGTCATATTTTTTGGCCTGTCTCTGTGCAGTGTTTCATATCCCTTTTATCACTATTTGCATAGATATAATAATAAACTCGTAGGCATTATTGAGCTCTGTGTTGTTCATATAATATAGATATGCACCAGTTTGAAGGCTCTTCATCCTTAGCTCTGAGTCACAATAATTACACCAAAAATTCTGAATTTTTGCACCATCGCTTTATCTCTAGAGGTCCCACCTTGAGCTGAATGCCCTTGCCCACAGCATCTCTGAGTGAAGCTACACTGCTGGTTAATGCAGTTGCCTCAGAGTGGTGGATTACACCGTGCCCTTTGGGCTGCAATACGTCAGAAGGAGCAAGGCCACAGGAACACAGCTTTGCCTGCTGAGGAATGTGTCTAGTGCAAGAGTTGCTAACTGTTGCAATGGGAAAATAACTTGGTTAGCAGCGAGAAGGACTGCCAAGCTGAAGGGTCTTGCTGCCAAGGAGTGGCGGATCAAAAGCAATCTGCGGTTTAACATCAGTTCTGAATGTAGTGGTGCTTGACGTGTGTGGGAACTTGATCTCCCACTGGAGATGTTGGTTTTCACCAAGAGAAAGAGTAGTTCTCCACTTATATTCGACTTGGTTTTTAACCTTTTCTTTTACCAACAGGCTCCAAGATGACTCTCCCATGCAAAGTGTTTGTTGGACTAAGCAGCCACGTCCATACTGACGTGGAATGGCTAGCGAATGACACCGCCGTCGACGTGGTTTACAAGCAAAGCAGAGTTACAGAGGGGGAACGACAGTAAGTCTGGCTGAAAGTGTTTCCTTGTGCTTGTTGTTTTAACCTGCAGCGTGACAGGGGCTCTCAGTGCAGCTGCATGCCAGGTAGTGAAATGGGATATGGACAGATCGGAGATGAAGGTGAGAGCAGAGAAAAGAACAGACAGGTAAGACAAAAAAACCCTAAACCCAAACTAGTCAGGGTGAAGTAAATTCTTTATCTCTGATTTTTATTCATGGTATACTGCAAATGAGCCAACTTGAAGGCTTAAACTTGAAGCACATTTTCATGGGCAGCTGAGCTGATGTAAGAGCTGACTGCAGTGGAAAGCAATGGGACTGGATCCTTCCCAGTGCTTCTCTTATCTCTCTCCTCACCCCGGGGCAGCAGAATGGCAACATCCTCCCCCTGACACTCATGAGGTTCTCTGAACAGCTAAGGCAACAGGAAATTATCCAGTGGTTTGGTTGTTTTGTTTCTTGTTTTGGTTGTTGTTGTTTGTTTGTTTGTTTGTTTTAAATACCATTGTTTTTCCCCTAAGGCTTGCTCCTTTCCATGTTGGTGAGTTAAACTGACTCACAGAGACATCCAGTGAATGCTAGAGCTGACACCAGGGAAGCACTGGGGGGAATGCTGGTGGGAGGGAGAAGGAGGATGTCTCACATCATCTTGCCCTGATCCATTGTCTCCCCTGGTCTTGCGAAGCCTTCTCTCAGCTGCCTTATAGCTGCGTGCCTCAAGGCTTTTCTCAGCTAGGAAAGGAGGAAAAAGATCTGCTTTCTGTACCTGTGACATGTCACCTGAGCAGCGCTAACTCGCCACGTTCAGTCATGCTTCTAGTGCTTTGCAAACGTGAAGTAAACCTACTGACTGAAATCTCTTCATTGAGGTCCAAGTGAGCATGTTTTATCTCTCATTTGATGAAGCTGAGAGTGTCCACAAAGATCATCACCCTCACCTGGGTCATGGTGGCTCTGCCTGTACTGGTGGACAGAGCTGGGAAGGTTCCTGGGCGCTGGGATGCCATTGCCTCTGCTGGTAGTGGTTAAACTGGTCACTCACCGGCTAGCACCTTCCCAGAGAGCTCCTGGCTATCAATTAGGGTTTAGCATGGGGCAGGGACCATTCCCAACAGAGTCGGGGCAGGGACCATTCCCAACAGTGTCTGGTCATGTGGCACCCTTATTTTGAGGGAGCAGGGCATTTAACAGTTATGGATGTGAGCTGGTTTTGGCCATTCATGGCCATCAGTGCCAGATAACAACCTGGCCATGTTTAGTTTATTGCACAGCTGCAGCCAGAAGTAACATGGTAACTCAGCTGTACGCCTGGGTCCTTATGTGTTTTGTATTCCCCACACCTTGACTGAGACCATTAATCGATAATGTTGTTTACATGGATAAGTGAGAGGGCCTGAAACTCATGGGCAGGAGCTACAAAATCTACTGTGGAACAGCTATAATTTCTTCAGGCTTTAGAATAGAGTAGCACATATGTGCTTTCTTACTTGGACTTTAAAAATAATTTTTATTATTACTATTACTATCATTGTTTCTGTTACATATTATTGTATAATTGCACGAGGACAGGGACCAAGCCAGGCAGGGGTCATGTGGAGCCCACGGTGTGTGAGACATCCCAGTTCTGCTGGAAGCCCTTAGAATGGCAGCAAGTCAAAGCAGGTCTAATGCCACCAGGAAAACAAATTCCTCACAGAAATCTCTGGCAAAGCACCCATGGCCATGTTGCTGCTTTCCTGCGGTACAATCCTGGGAGGAGCACACAGGGAATGGCGCTGCTGCAGTGCATAGCAAACACATGATCAGATTGTTAAAGAGCAACTGGACAGCTTCTCCATCAATGACTAAAAGAGATCAAGAGGCAATGTCTGACCACAGCTAGAAAACCACTTTTAAATAGTTTGACTGGTGAAACAATCAGGTTGAAATAAGCTGGAAACCTTCTAGACAGTTTCTTGGATTGAGCTCTTGGCTTTGAATGCATGATAGGCAGGAATGGTGGTTCAGTCTGCTGAATGAGCATTTGCAGGGTTATGTTCTTCTTATGTCCTCCTCCAGTAAGAATTTATCTCAGAAATGAGTAGGTGGTCAGAGAGAAAGAATTAAGTCCTTTCACAATGCTTTGTAGAGAGCTCAAAGATATAAAGAATTCTGCTTGCCTTTTTTTCCCTCCTTTTTCTTGATTTTTGCAAGACAAATCCAGATCTTTTTTCCCTGGAAGATTCAACAAGTGCAGGATAAGTACTGAATGCTGAGACTCAAATAGTAGGCACAACTGCGCTGGAAGACACAGGCATCCTCTAATGCTGAGGGGCTAGTTCAGAAATGAGCAAATATTCAATACATTTTCTTGCAGCCAGTTTATTAAAGGATTTAACATAAAATTTTTCTTTTTCTTCCAGAGAAATCATAGAAAATGGTGAAAACTTCATTGAAGTGCCACTGATTTTTGATTCTGTCGAAGAAGTGGATTTTTACACAGACTTTACGTGTCTGGCCCAGAACAGATACGGCTACCAAGTACTACCAACAAGGGTCAAGCAGGAAGGTAACAAGTTTGATTGTTGATTTGGGATAATTGTGACCATTATTCTAAAGCTAAATTATCATCCAAGCCTTTTATACTGTCAGAGTTGGTACTGGGTTGAATTATTGCTTGGGGAAAAACTGGTTGCCTCTTTCACCTGTAGACTTTGGAATAGCCTGTTCACAAAATACACTTTCTGTGAGTCATTCACTGGCATTTTCTGCAGAGATAAGGATCTATGCTGGTATATGTGTTCTTTGGTAGAGCTTCAATTCAGGTACACTTTGTGAAATGATGGCTCCATTGAGACAACTGGCAAACTTCCACTGGGTGCAGCAGCGCCAGATCTCTTCCAGTTCCTCAAAAAGTGGTGAAAAAGAAAAAGAAGACAATAGCAGAATAAAGATCAGAGTGTTCCTTCTCCTCATGCACAGACTGACGCCAAAATAACAAGAAGTGTAAATTATGATGGGTGTTGTTATTTTGGCTCCTAGTGCTGGGAAGAGAAGCCCTAAGCTCAGTGCGATTAATACTGCAGTGTGATAGACCATTGGCCAAGAACCAGCTGTAAAAACACTGTGAAGCAATGCTAATTGTTCCTTTGCATGATGTTGATGAATCACCAAAGCTTGCTCACGCTGTCTTAGAACGGCACATGAACATTTACAGTCTTCTTTATGAGTTATAAGTCGTGATTCACTCCAGCATCCTATGATGAAGGATTTGTACTGATTTGCTAGATGATGTGCTGCGCTTGTCTTCCATGAGCTACACAGGTATTACAACAGAAGAGGGAATCCATGAATTGATATAGGCTGGAGTAATCCAAAATAGTCTGGATGGACACTGGTGTTGGAAACTAGCTGTATTTTGGGAAAAAGCTCTGTCTTGGCTTGATTATTAGTAATGTATAGGCTGCTCTGTATGAGAAAGTTATTCATAGAGCTTGAGGGTGGACAAACTATTACGTACTCCCTCGCCACATGGTGCTTTTATTTCCTGCTTGGAGTGTCTCTGCTTCCTCCAAATTAAGATAGAAAGCACATAGCCTCTCTGAGCAGGGGTTGGAAACAGTCATACGTATGCAAAAGGATTGAACTGTAAATTTTCACCTTCTGTTGTTTTCCAATTCTTCTTCTCATCCTCACAAACCCATTTCCCAAAGTGCTCAATCAATAGGCCTCTTCCTTTCATAGCTGATCAGCCCTGCTGGAAGGTTAACTTGCAGACATCCTTTTTATTGTGATTTCTCCTCTTCTTACTTGAACTTTGAGAACTATGTTCCTGGGAGGGTTTTTTTTTGAAAATAATTAATTTCTTTTCCAGCTGTCGGCTTGTCTTGGTCCATTGCAGTGATTCCTGTCGCGTTGACCTGCGTGATTGTGGCGGGGATATTCATACACAAGTGCTGGACGCGGAGAGACGATAAAGGATACACAATAGCAAAAGTTTAAAATCTGCTTTACTCTTCAACCGTCAGCAGAACAAAAATCAGCCTGGCTACCTTTCACGTGAAACACGGAGATATTTCAGACTAAACTGCTTTCCTAGCAGACTGATATACCAGCTATTTTCCTCTTCTCCAAGTCTTCTCCAATCTGATCAAGTTATAAATATGTTTTCATTTATATGCTGTCTACATGCAGGAAACCTGCATCTTGTTATTATAAGAAACCTATTATTTTGCAGCTAAGGTGCAAACTGTAGCATTTTGGAACACAGAATATCAGGAATGTGCCCTGGATATGGGAAAGGTAGGGAGAGGAAGGTGCTCTTGCCCTTTGTAATTCCAATAGTCTTACTGTATTTTAAAAAAAAAGGAAAAGGAAAACATTAAAACCTAAAACCAGAAGCTAAGAAAGCTTACTACAGAAGGACTATTCCACACCAAAGTGAAAATGCAGTTTTCTTAAGCATTCAAACTCATTTTATTTTACTTCAGTCTAAAAACAGCCACTTTTTTCCCCTTTCCAGAGCCAAATACAGTTGTCATGGCAACTGTATATCTACAAACTTTTCCACAGAAAATCTAGTTTTTTTCACCATTTGGATTACTCTTTGCTTAAATGGACTGTCTCAGAATATCCCCCAGAGATAACAAATAATGGTAAACTGGAGAATTCAGTTCTGTTTTATCTACCAGGATCTCACAGCTACAGATTCATAGACAGCTGTAACATGTTGTTTTCTTTGCCAAGAAAATAAATTGGAGGGATGTTTCAGTGTTTTGAGAGTCATTTGACTAATACAAAGTTTTATTCCTGGAAGTAATTGGACATTACCAGTAATAATGTACAATCTTGCCCTTCTGTGACTCTAACTCTTTCATGACTGGCCTGAATCTCCTCACTGATATGAGTATAAAAGTCTGGCATAGATTCCCATATAGAGGGAGTCTGCACCAGTCTAAAGCTGATACAGCTTCAGGAACCTTGTGTCCTTTAGATGGAACTATGCAAATCAATTACTCATGATGCAAACCGCTGCCCGTTAGGTTAATCTAACTGGATTCCAGTCTTGACATAAATCAGAAGGGAGCAATAAATAAACAGTGACCATGTTGTACTTTGAGAATCAGGATGAGTAGAGTGACTTGGTTACTTTCTCTTCTGAGAGATGACGCTTATGATAGCTGAGAAGTAGTTCCATCACATATAATGTGTATTATCTTCATCTGTATGGAAGGGGAAGAGATCCGGTCTTAATGTCTAGATTGCCAGAGACCCATAACTGACACCTCTCACAGACACAGAAAATAAAGCTTTTTGTTCACC